CGCCCAGTTTTGTTGACCGTTCAGAGGTATTCCATTGTGATCCCAATGCGCACTCTCAACTGGTAGGTGATCTTGCGAGTCGAGTTCGGGCTGGTCATAGGCCAACGATGAATCGGGGTCGGACATGACAGAATAATAAGCCGAAAGACAAACAGAAAAAAACCTGTCGAAATAAATGTCTCAGTAACTAACGAGCACTGAGCTAGGTTGCGAGAAAACCTTGTAGGCTATGAACCACGCCAACCAGGAAAGGCAGGCTAATGCTAGACTTGTGCCAGACAGAGGATTGCCAGCAAGGCTATGAGTTACGGTTACCGAGCTTGTCCGAGACTCCGAGTTGATTTCCCAGGGCAAACATTAAACTAAGTCTGTTTATCGTCCACACATTCTACTTTACTAAAAGAATGACACTCCTAATAGATCAGATAGAGCAATTGATCATGCAACAAGGACAACGAGCTTCTACCTAAGCAGTCACCTCCATCGCTTGGGTTGTCTCCAGCGGCGAAATGACTTCAACTTCAGTCCCCTGTTCTTCTTCCTTGGTCACTTCTTCGCATCCTAGGGGTGCGTCTTCTATAGGCTTCATCTCGACATCTTGGAAATCCCCTTCTGGCTTCGAAGACTCAGCTTTCCAAACCCACTTTTCCATCACCCGCTCTATTCGCTGCCTCTCCACCCCATCTTCGGTCTTTCTGACCTTGATCATCACATCTCTCGTTTTCTCCACAGTCGCCCGTTCCTCTTGCGCCTGATCTTCAGACTCTTTGTTCCACTCCATCCACTCTCGTTCCCATATATCTGATGTCTTTGGACGGTGAATATTCACAACCCGCTCGTCCGATTCCCGGGGAAGTTCATTAACTACATCCCATCCTTTGGGCTGGAAGTTCCTGAACTGTACACCAACAGCTGCACTAGCGGGCGATCGCTTCCGTTTGTGGCCATTCACCATATTCGTCTGAACCGGGCGCCCGAGGTCTTCATCGTCGCTCGTCGCTCCCGCTGCAAGCCGCACACGCCACCTCAGCTCACGAGCCAGCGCTGGTGCGTCCTTCACGCGATCACTTGGGACATTTTCCTTGGCTTCCCGTTTGGCCACCTCTGTCCCGCGTTCCATGGCTTGTGACTCTGACACAAGAAAATGGGCAAGAGCTTCAAGAGATTCCAGAACACGAGGAGGGAACTCTTCTTTCGATTTCAGGTCTCGCAAATATTTGTCACCTACATACCAGCAGAGCCTAATAATTGATGCTCAGACAGTTTAACAGAAATGAAGAAAAATCTCACTTGACAAACAACGGAAACCTGAATTTTTTGGGCACATGTGTTGCTTTCTCAATGTCAATCACTTTCAGCTCTGTATCATGATGGCCAACGTCAGTCTATAGCATGAAAAAAAATAGCAAAAAGCTAACTCACGTGTTGCAATGTTGTAAGAGTGTAGGAAATTCCCGCCGAAGACCAGAGAATCTACTGGAGTGTGCTAAAGGAACAACCGACGTTTCATAATCTGGAAGACAATAGCGGCGGAGGTGCTCACCACAGCATGTATCCACCCTGTTGGTATTATCATCGTATTGCCTGCGTGAAGAGTGACCTTCACCACCTCGTCCACCATGTCACCTAACCAGACATTACTTTGCATCTCAGTCCCGGACCATCGTTCATACGCTTGTAAGTTGGCTGGTGTGGGTCGTATGAAGTAGAATACCTGGGGTAAACGCCCAACCTGTTAGAACGATGGAGCATATAGTTGAGAGACCGACCTTGCATCCACGAAGTATATGATAATACACTGACGAACCAGCAAAATCTACGTGCCAATCCTATGGCCGATTTTTAGAGCACCATCGCTCAAAAATGATGATCACTCACTGTCCACGCGGAAGCAACACCCATGAGACAATACAGCTGCACTTTGGGGTATGCATGCCCCTTCCCTTTACGTGTACTTGGCCAGAACTTTTCAACCCAGTCCAATTCCCTCACAAGTCTTGGGGGTAACACCTGGTCTGCAAGCTTCGTACCTGAAATCTCCAACGATATTACGTTACGGATCTTATCTCGTTTGGAAGGTTCGGTATTATAGTACTCAGCCCAACGCCCCAACGTCCATCCAGGAGAGTTTGACTGTGAGGCAACGTCTAAGCCACACATCAGCAACACATACACTCCATAACAACACACTCACCAATGACCTCCACAGGTGTTTCGTGGCCGACTTCATCCGCGACATCTTGAACCGAGAATTCGGGTGGAGGCATCTTCATTCTCAGTCCCTCCGGATTCTCCACTACAATTGGTTCACGCATCGCGGTTTCGTCGTTCTCCAACCATTCCAGGCCCACATCTGCACCCTTCATTCTTCTAAAATTGTCGTCCTTGATTGGTTTGCTTTGGATGACTCGCAACCATCTACTCGGGTCGGATTCGACTCCTGCATTGAGGTTCGCGTAGTCCAATTGTGTACGCTTGCGTGAGGACTTGCGTGCAGGAACCTTGAATGTCATCACACGCGACGGCTTCTCTGTCATGCATGGCCCGCAGAACCTATCCAGTATTAGATAAACCATCACAGTGAATTCACGTCTAGTGTGCACCATTTGTTAATCGACTCGAGGTCACTACCGTCCCCTACGCATGCCCAGTGGAACCAAATCTTGCAGGCGTCACAACGTATCCAGCTGCTCTTTTCTCCCTGCACACCTTCTCTGCATGATGGGCACATATCTTCATCTGTCTTGGTTGGTGCGGATTCCGCCTGCGTGGGCTCTGGTTCATCCTCCATCGGTGTCAACGACGAACGTGACGAGCTTGGTGAGCGTTCTGGTGACTTTTGAGTTGCCGAACGTGTAATGCGACGTCGACTCCGAGCCATCTGTTGCTTATAATGTCAAGAAGTATTTGCCAAAAAAAATCTGACCGGATGTCGATCGCGAGCCCCAAACCTGATGCTAGGAGAAGTGATTATGTAATATTTCCTGCTCAGGCTTGCTACCAATTTTTTTTAATATTGTTCCGAGCTTAATAATTAGCGTCTGACAGGGTCATTCAGGCAGTTCGTTACGGACTCTTGATATCACAGAGACTGACGGGTCTCTCTGGAGGACCTTTAATATACATCTAACCATAATGATTGCGCATTCTGCGTTCATATTCGTGCTACGCGTTTACTCGACTGATATAGTACAATTCCATAGTAATTCTATTGACGGGCGGCAGTAAGGTACAAACCACTCTATGAATATGCCATCTTTCTTCCCTTGTGAAGTCACTTCTCGCTAAGCTCAGCCACACCAGGCAGGACCTTAATGTTAATGAGTTAACTTAGTTCAGGGTGACCGGACTTGCTAGTTCTCACCTTGCCCTCCAACAGTTCCAAGCTAGCACCTCCGCCTGTACTGACATGACTTATCTTGTCCTCAGCGTTGTAGAGTGCTGCAACTGTTGCAGTATCACCACCACCGATGATGACGGTCACGCCCCTCTGCGCAGCCTCGACGTTCGCATCGAGAAGAGCTTTCGAACCCCCTGCAAAAGCAGGGAACTCAAACACACCGGGAGGACTATGAACATTGAGATAAAATATTGCTCCGAGAAGTTTTACACGTACCCGTTCCATAAGATGGTCTTGGCCTCGAGTACTGTCTGGCGAAATAGCTCGCGACTCTTCGGGCCGGCATCAAGGCCCATCCACCCACTAGGAATGCCTTCAGCAATACTTGCAGTCCCAGTCTGCGAGAACAGTCAACGCGCAGACAACAGACATGAGGCGAAATACACACATTTGCGTTTTTGTCGAACTTGTCAGCAGTAATGAAGTCGATGGGGAAGACCAGTTTTACATTGTTCTTCTTTGCCTTTTCGACAAGGGCTCTAACCTTTTCAGAACCGGCTTGGTCGAAAAGGGAGTCTCCAATCTTGGAAATAGCGTGAGTGATCACGCATTATCAAAAATTACCCGTAGAACTCACAGACACATGGTCCAATGTCTTTGCGAACGTAAACGCCATGCCACCGCAGATAATAAGAGAGTTAACCTATTCAAGGAAGCGCAAAAACCCAAGCGATGAACAACTGACTTGGAAAAAATCACATCACCCACCTTATCCAACATATTCTCAATCAGCTGAATCTTGTCTGACACCTTGGCACCTCCAAGGATGGCGAGGAAAGGTCGGTCAGGATTCTCAAGAGCTTTTGCAAAATACTCAAGCTCCTTCTTGACGAGGAAGCCTGCGGCTCGTTGGGGCAATTTAACGCCGACCATACTCGAGTGAGCACGGTGAGCTGTCCCAAAGGCATCGTTGACGTATAAATCACCGAGTCTTGTAAGGCCCTCCCTGAACTCCGCAACCTTGGCAGGGTCAGCCTTAGTTTTTGTACCATCTTTGTTCTTGACAGAACCCTCCTCCTCAATATGGAAGCGGAGATTTTCGAGAAGGATGACAGAGCCAGGTTCGGCAGCATTCACAGCCTTCTCAACCTCAGGGCCCACGCAGTCGGGGAGGAAGATAACGGGCTTTCCGAGATGCTTCTCGAGCTCGCCAGCGACTGGTTTTATGGAATACTTCTCAACAATCTTGCCATCTGGACGGCCTAGATGCGACATGAGGACAACGGTCTTCGCGCCTAGATAGATAGAACAATTTTCTTCGTGACAGCACTCCACATGCATACATGACACTGACCGTTGTCGAGAGCATACTTGATGGTGGGCAACGCTGCCACGATACGCTACAGCCCTTTCAGCAAGGATATATGTGTGACAAGGGGAGTGCTCACAGCAGGGTTAGTGATTTTTCCATCCTGCATGGGAACATTGAAGTCAACGCGGATGAGGACACGCTTGCCCTTGAGGTCGAGATCTGTGATAGAGAGCTTGTTCGAGAGAGACATGGTCGTCGTTAACTTTAGGAACAGTGGGGCGATGATCGAATAACTGACGGTACCGAACCGTACCGTTTATCTTATCAGAACAGATAAGGCTCTGATTTCCCACCTCATCGCTGGACTGTCCATGGACTTCTCCAGTAGCTCAAATTCTCTCCGCGGCGGTATGATTTCCTTTGGTCGCGTCTTCTGTCGACCACAATGGCTGAGTCCTCCACGAACTCCCTTGGCCTTGATTTCAACAATCTTTCCATCAAAGAGACAACTGAACCTCCTCAGGCCGATGTAGACGAGTCACAGGTGCTAGAAAATCAGTCAGCAGATAGGGACGTTAAGGAGAAGAAGAAGCCTTATGTGAACCTTGAGCGCGTCAAGACGGGCGGAGCGCAGAGGGTATGCAATGTCAGAACAGTATAATATGTCCTGCTAACTGCTTTATAGGAGAAACTTAGTGAAGAAGCGCTCGCTGAACGGATGCAGCGTATTAAGGAGCAGAATGAGAAGATTAAACAACGCAGAATTGTAAGTGGCATGCATATCTACAACGTCAATCAACTGACATGGTATGATTAGGACGTACAAGCAGATGAAGACGCGTTCAAGAAGACTCAGGAAGCTGACCGTGTGCGTCAAGCCCATCGGCGCAAAGTGCAGGAGGGCGTTGACCGCACCCGCGAGCAGAACGCTCGGAGAAAGTTGGACAAGATTCAGAATCGTGAATGGGACTCTGGAAAGCCCCAGGGTGATTGGAAACAGGCAAGGAACCCCGCTTCAGCTGATGGATCTGCAGCAGTTCCAAGTTCCTCGCCGTCTGAACATAGGGGAGGGAGAGGTCGAGGAAGTAGCAGAGGAGGACCATCAAGAGGCCGCGGGCGCGGGCGCGGAGGTCCATCTGTAGCTGGATTTGCCAGCCCGTCCAATAGCACTCAAGTTGCCGATACCTCTTCGTCCATCAATGAGGCTACCCCCGTCACGTCCGAGGAACCTGAGGCAGTTGGAATTGCTTCGTGATGCAGGGCTATCTTCTGGATACCATTTGGCTTGGCTTATGTCTCAGATGATGGTGACCTGTACGACTCGTGTTTTTTGAAACCAGGGGCGTTGTTGACTTATTGTAACTCATGACCTATCCTCACCTGTATTTTTCTTAGCTGCTTTGTTAGCATTTACAATACGATGCTGTGTATAACGTTTCCCTGACAATGTTGATTTATATCGTGTCGTCATGTGAGCGGTCGGTGGTGTAATGGTTATGGCTGAAGTTACCCCTTCCTCGTCGACTTGGCACAATGATGCTATTGGTAAGCGCTTGCATGCAACACTGTAGGTTGCTCAGCATGGCATAGTTTACAGGCCAATCCTTCAGCTTGCAAGACATCTACGTCAACCCCGACTTGGAAAATCATAACCGTTTTTGCGACCACCTCATTTAGCTGTCTTGTTCATTTCAGAAAGATGCTTGTCTCGATTACGCTACGGTCGACCAACTTGAATCCTCGACGAACATTAGAATTTCACAAGACAGCGTGCTCCAGCTTTAGCGTTGTGTGTGTTCGTGTTCGCATTTCGTGTGCTTTATCCATGCATACCTTTTCCCCGTACGCAAAAACATTCAAAGAGCCTTGTTTAAATTCTTGAGTTACATGGTACAGGTCACCATGGTTAGTTCACACTACACTTGTACAGAGATCTTACACGATCTGTTAAACGCTTTGCAAAGACCTGAAAGTTCGACCAAGTCGAACAAGCCAGCGTGAGTAGAAATTATCAGACAAGAACATCACGGCTTACAACCGGGCGAAGGAGTTTACAGCAAACATTGTACGGTTTTTCAGTGAGTAAGGTTTTAGACCAAGCTTCGTGGTATGCAGTAAACACGTACTCGAGGGATATCTTAGGTAGCCTGGAGGCAGCAACCGTGGATGCGAGCAGGAGACTTTTAAGAACGTAGTAAGGAAGATAGCTGCACAACGATAACAGCAAAGTGTGACAATGTGATTCAGAACCCCGTACACAGACTCAATAACCCCCTCCATCATCGGCAGCTCTGTGCGATGCCATCTGTCGTCTCTGAGCATCTTCCAACTTCGGGCAATTCGATATCCCGTGTCCAAGACCTGATGCTGAAATCAATAAGCAATTCTGGTTAATTAAATATCACGCGTACCTCCACATACAGGGCAGCCTTTGAGCGAGCCACCCTGTGCTGCTCGAGGATCTTCGATGGTACGCAAGAAGGGTGGAACCCTGTTACATGTCAGCAAGACACATTGGAGCGAGACAGACAACATACTTCTGTCCAGCCTCCATCAACAAATATTTCAAATCTAGAAGTGTCTGCTCTGGTGTCGTCATATTTACAAATGTCGTAGCTATGCCAGTCTTTCCGCTACGTCCTGTACGGCCAATTTGATGTACGTAGTCCTCGATCTCTTTGGGCATGCTGAAGATGATGACGTGTTGAATATCGTTAAAGTCGAGGCCCTTCGAGGCAACGCCCGAAGCCACCATAACATCTTTGGCGCCGGACTTAAACGATTTAATGGCGTATTGTCGTTCCTCCTGGGCTAAAGACAAAAGTGAGGACCTCTGTAATTAGCAATGATGAAAAATGATTACTCTTTGAACCGTGAATTGCCACAGCCTCGACACCTTTCAGTAAGAGGTATTCTTGTATATCTGGTATAAAATGAGGATTTCGACGTTTGAGAGAGAAGAGAATAGCCTACCATCAACTTCATTTTTGTTCTCACTAAAGATAATAACTGGAGGAGCCGTTTTCTGAAGGCACTCCAGCAAGTAAACCATCTTCGCCTCCTGCTTAACATACTCCACCACCTGAAGAACGTCCAAATTTGCAGCGCCAGCACGGCCAACATTCACAAGAACAGGTTTGATTAACGACTGCTGCGCAAAGTCTTGGATCTTTCGGGGCATTGTCGCAGAGAAAAGTAAGGTTTGCCGTTGTCGCTATCAAGTACTATGAATAAATCACAGCCAATTAACAATTACGAAGGCATACCTTGAAAAAGCTCATAATGTTGCGTACGTCATCCTCGAAACCCAAATCAATCATCCGATCAGCCTCATCCATACACAAAAACTTGCTATTGTTAAATGTGAATTTTCGCTTCTCTAGCATGTCAATCAGACGGCCAGGAGTCGCTACCACAATGTGTAGACCCTTGTTGAGCACGTGACTCTGTTCGCCCATTGATATGCCGCCAATACAGAGGAGAGTGTTGAGCTGTGGGTACTTTCCGTCCCTTGCAAGCGCGCCTGTCCAGGCAAGCACATTTTCATATGTCTGTGTAGCCAGCTCGCGTGAGGGACAGAGAACAACACCTACTGGTCCTTCTCCACGAACAAATGGGAGCTTCGTCTCTTCTTCCAGTGCGAGCATGATTAAGGGAAGGCAGAAGGCGAGGGTTTTGCCGGAACCAGTGAAAGCAATACCAATCATATCTCGGCCAGCAAATCTACAAAGTTTGATTAAAGGAAGTTAATGAAAGAGTACGGGAGGTCGTACGCAGTGGGTATCCCTTGTAATTGGATAGGTGTCGGAGTAGTGATTTTCTTGGACTTTAGAAATTGCAGCATCGATTCTGGTATCTTCATGTCCTACGAAACAGTCAATCCAGCGCTGATGGAGTCGTCCATTATATAAGTACCGAAAAATGCTCAATAGGAGGAGGTATGTCTTCTCCATCCACAATAATGTGGTATTTCTCTCGCAGTCGTCGATGTTGCTCATCTGTGCGTTCTCGAATATATTTTGGCGGCTGCCACCTGTAGCATAAGTCAGAACACGGTCAACTTCCCATTCGTTGCACGAATCTCACGATGTTTTGAGGGAGTCTGTGTAAGATATGCCTTTCGCAAGCTCTAGATCAGATGCGAGTTTCCTGCGACTTGCTATGGCAGCAAGTATCTCTGCATCTGCCTCTTCTTCTTTTTCTACTTCAGTCTTCTTTGCATCTATGACAATATTAGCATATAAACAGCTCGCAACTCAGTAAGGCACGCACTCTCTGCAGCTTTGCGCTCGTGTACTTCCTGTGCTTCCATGAGCAAAGGCCTCTCCTTCCGTGTCTTCTCGCGCTGGCGTTCCTCTTCCCTCTCTGCATCTTCACGCTCTAATAATTCCTCTAGTTGCTTCTTTGCCTTTGTCCTGTCAGAAACGGTGCTTAATGAAGAAAGTTTCGCCAGTTTAGCTTCTCGTCGTTGAGCGACAGGAACGTAGGGCACATAATCGTCGTCGTCGTCATCGAATTTGTACGTCGGTGACGGAGAGCGTGAGATGCGACGTCGTTTGGGTGATGATTCCATGTCAGGCGTAATAATCAGTTGGTGAGTTACAAGTTAAACGATGCACCGATGACAGCTTTGGACGAAAACGTGACTTGCAGTGCCAACACTCAGGAGGCAGAAACTTCAAAAGTTCAAAGTAATCCCACATTTAGTGTAGAATAGCCAAGTATCTATTTGTTCTCATATAAAATACATCTTATTTTCAGACTCTTCCATGTGAACACTCGCGACACGCCGACAGGTGATCAACACTAGAAGTGACTGCCCGACTACTTACCAAACGCTACATTGGTCCCAAAATATTCCCTCTTCGATGTCGATAATGGTACTACGTCGGGTGGCGAAATAGTGGACCCTGGTTTAGGGCGGTGCGTGTCCACGGCACCGATGGGAAGAGTGTACCTATAGTTTGTGAGTTAAGAGAAATTAGAGTGATGGAAAGGTGAAAGGAAAAACTCACCGTTCCTCGTCACAACCATACGCCTTCGGAGTGAGCTTGATGACGGTATGTAACGGTACATTGATGTAAGGCAGATCAGCTTGTGGGAGATCGTGAAAGTACGCGTAGAGGCAACGAATGATTGCCTGCCATGATGGTCAGTATAAATTCTTGCTATGAAGTGGACATAACAGAATCAGGGCGTGGATCTGAATAAAAGAAAAATTATTTTGAGCACAGGAATCCACACATACTTGATGTCCAAAGATCAATATGTTTTCCTGCCGCTCAAGTTCCATGATGACAGGCTCGAGGCGCACGACAACATCTCGGTAAGACTCGCCGCCTCGGTAACGATAGTTGAATTTGTCTTCGTCACGGTTGGCGAAATCTTCGGGGTATGCTTGCTGAAGCGCGAGAGAAATTAAGGATCTCAAGTAAGAAGCATTGTCATAAAACAGTATGCACCTCAATCTCCTCATATGTCATACCATCGCAGACGCCAGCGTCGAGTTCATCAAGAGATTTCCAAGTAAGTTTGGGGTAGGGAAGTTCCGCAGCGGTTTGAATTGTGCGTTGAAGTGTCGAAGTCCAGACCTGTACGTTTGAGATGAGGTTCTGTACATGGCTAGAAGTAGACAGGTACAATAAGTGGTGCATCCCCAATGTTGTTTCGTACAAGCTCAGGGAGCGCGTGAGCGTATGCCAGGCCGCGTTCTGAAAGTAGTGAGTCCCCGCCAATCCGGCCTTCGACGTTATACTGGCTCTCGCCATGCTACAATAAGACTTGAGTCCGAGTTTCGAAATTTTCAAAGAAGACGCACTCTGGAAAGAAATATATTGCGTGGTTTCACATGCAAATTCATTAAATAAAAGGCAATGCGGCTTTGCAAGTAACCATTTATTCTGCTGAGCGTGACTTCATTGCCAATATCCGTGATTCGCAGATAACTAAGGTGGGGTTCGGTGATGGTCTCGTAGACGGCCTCATACTCCTTGATGCGCCGAAGGAAGTCACGTTCGGCCACTTCACGGGGAAGGTCCTTATAGTCCGGATCTCCAGAGGAGACCTTAAGGGCAACGTTAGCAGCGATGACAGCAGGATCGTTGCATATGGACTCGAGGAATATGACGGACATGCCCTTTTCTTTGGCAACGCGGGCGGAGATTTTGGCACTGAGTGAAGTGGAATTAACTATTACTGCTAGATAACCACATGGAACGGTGGGCGTACCGTCTCATACGGGTACTATTGGTTGCGTCTGGGGGGTATAAATGACATGACTGAGGTAGAAAGTGAAAATGTACCGTGTATGGCGACGTTGCCGCCCCTTTTCAGCCATCGAATGAGCATCTCGAGACTGTCTTCTGCGAGTTGCTCGCGAAGCTTAGTGGCTTCTACGTTGTTGTGGCTGAAGTAGTTAGAAGTGTGATCTTCGAGAATTCCACTTCTGCAGGAGGTGCAGTATATATAATGCACGACGAAATACTACGTACTGTTGGGCTTTGTGGTGCGCGCGCGAACGGCGAAGCTGACCAACATTGAAGACCTAACCGACGATAAGTACCAGATTGGTCCGAGGATTAGGGCAGCAGACCTGTACGTCGTACTCTAGCCACTGGGGAGGATAAGTGAAATCCAACAGCAGGAGCAAATACAAACCTTGAGATAACGCATGAGCTTGTTGCTGAGGTAGGATTTGCCGCGGGCGGGCAATCCCACCATCGCAAGGACGATCTTTGCTTCTGAGTAGTCTGGTTTGGCAACTTGCATGGTAGATTGATAAATGAGTGAAAAACGATAGGGGTGAGGTGAGACGAACCTTTGTTCCCGATACCAACGACGGAGCGTGGGGGAGTCGGAGCCTGAGAGCCTTTCCGACTAGAGGCGGTGGACTCGTCGAATTGTTTGAGCCTGTGCGCAGTGTGCGGGGTGCCCAATCGTTAATTCATAATTTCAAGGTGACAGACAGATAGTGATCTGAGGACTAACATTGGTCCACCAGCACGGAATATGACAGGCGGACTGCCGCGAACAACACTATCTAGGACAGCATCCGTATCGTCTGCCATGTCTTCGATGGCACCGAGGGCTGCGGTGAGCTCTGAGGAGAGAATAGGAAAATGAACTCTGTTGTGATCTTCGCTTGGACGATTCATGATGCAGATGGGTTGCTGGAAACTTGAAAGTAAGCTTAAGTGAGACCTTGATTGAGTTATTCTGATGATATGATCTCGAGCACGTGCTCCACGCGTACGTCGAGTCGTCGACCATCTACGACCATGCAAGTAAAAGGTTTCCATTCAACGTTCTCAACTAGTATTCCTCTACATGCACGACATGAATATGCAGCATGCAACTTATTTGTCCTCCATGAACTTCCAGCCGATATTATCATTGACTCGTTTGAGCTCAATGACCATGGACTCTCCTTCCAGTTTGTGGGGAATACGAATCTGGAGCTACCCATGTCCGGGGTAGCAAATGAATCAGGCTGGCTGTTGGTCGCCGTTAAGCCGGAGGCAGACTTGATCGTGGTGGATGTGCCTCTCCATGTTAGATACGGTGTGCCGCAGGAGGGTCATGACCCTCGTCACATCATCCAGCTACCTCCTCCAACTTGTTTTTGGGCTTGTCCTTCCTCATGTGCGCTTCAAGCTCTCTTTTGTTGCCCGTATCCTAATTATTTCTTTTCAAGACAAATCACTCCACAATACACTCCCATCACAGTCTCCCAAATTTCACTTGCTCAATTCATCTGCTCAGTTCGAAATCTTTCAGCACACAACTTCATCACTTCTCTCATTTGACATTCCTGTCGGTAACATCAATCACACTCTCTATATCGAGTTATGTACCGTGACTGTGACCCTCCTTGCCTTCGTCTACGTTGTCCAGCACTGTTGGACAATCTCCAAAACCCTCTATTATGATGTGCACCTCAAGATGCAATAGCTCCTTTTAGCACAGAGTATAGAGAAAGGCAAGCAAAATATCAGTCCCGTACCCATACCATTCAATGAAACGCGTGAACATGACCGGCAACCGCCCCCTTACACAATCACACATCGTCGCTGCTTTACCATCTTCCCCCAGCGCCCCTTCATGCTTTCTCGCAATGCAAGGTTGAACACGTCTTGCACACCACTTCCCGTCTTTGCTGAGCACTCAACGTACTTGGCACCGATTTCCCGCGCCACCATCCCACCTTGCTCGGGTGTCACTGGCACCTGACCTTGCGCGCCAAGCATCCGTCGTGTTTGTTCGTCCCGCCGCAGGTCAGTCTTGGTTCCAACGAGGATAAGAGGTGTTCCTTCGCAAAAGTGGGCAACTTCAGGGTACCACTGGGATGTTGGTCAACACAACTGGGCTTGACACGCTGCTCAACAACATACCTTATCTTGCACGTTTCCTAAGGAGACGGGAAAATCGATAGAGAATACGATAAGGATGACGTCGGATTCTGGATAGGATAGTGGTCGTAGTCGGTCGTATTCTTCCTGCCCTGCGGTGTCCCAAAGTGCTAACTCTACCAGTTTGCCGTCGAATTGGATTTGCGTGACGTAGTTTTCGAACACAGTGGGTATGTAAGACTGCAGTCATGCGTAAATTTGAGTTCGGAAATGTGAATGAGTACATATGAATGAATGATAAGGCGTAACTCATGCGTACCTCGGGGAATCTATTCTCTGCATATACGATGAGGAGACAAGTCTTCCCGCATCCGCCTTGAGTGTAGTGGATTGAGCGCGGGCACGGACACTGAAGAGACAAGGGCAAGGGTCCGCGCACCATCTCCAACCACTACCAGCTTCTTCTTCATGTCGGGTCTTCTTGAGTCCATTGGCACCAGTTAGAATTATGGTTTGGGTGAGAAATATACGAAGAGACGAGCGACGGGATAGACAGCGAGCTGGAACAGATAGAGTAAGTCTTCAGGAAGTCTGCAACTCGTTACTCGTTCACAGCGGACAATTCCAAACGCGTTGAATGTACTGGTCACGTGGTGATGATGTATATACTGAGCCAGTTGCATAACAAGGTAGGGCATGTCATCCATTTTCTGGCCATGCGATGTCGCAAGAAGCGGGTTCTGCTATGGGTGGGATCATCCTACATTGTGTGTAGCAGGTGTGCTAGAGGCCGAGGAGGTACGTCGGATGGTCACACAATATTTGCCATTGATTGATGGCCCATGTACAGGACTCACATGCAGAAACTCTACTCCAGCGTGTCGCTCGTTCCGCAGAAACACGAGCCCTGATTGAAATTTGTGGAGCTCCACGGGTTCTCGGACGTTGTGTACTCAGTCCATTCGCGAGGTCATCATACCCCCAACCGGATGTCGACATGTTCTGCGGTTCCTCACGGTCGGATATTCCTCGCATATCCGATATGCAACTGACTTTGATGTTAGGGCACACTCTACTACATACATATACTACCATCGTCATGATGTAAATTCTTTGCGGTTTTATGCCTTGGACTCGGATGGAACACGCCTTTTCGAGCTTCAGGATGAGATCTTGCGTTGGAGCTTGAAGCACGATTTTTCGCATACCACATCATTGCGAAGCGCGTCGAATACATGGCAGATCCTCGTCAATCAAGTATGTGTTCCAATAATTACCTGTGCCCGAGCTTGACTGCTGTAGTGGAACTCTGCAAAATTTCTCGAGCAGTTCATAGAGCGCGAGCAGCGTGGTCAGACTATTGATATCCAAGAGCACAGCGCTCGTTTTAAAGAGACCTCAAATTTTGCAGCCATCTATGAGAAATTTCATTGTACAATCGACGCGATCGAAAGTTCGACGAATCTTTTCTGGCGTGTCACATCCTTTGTCTTCGTCTACTCAAGAGAATTTAGCATCGCAGGTATGCATTGTATTATGTACCAGGATCTAATATCCAGCTTGCACCAAGTCCAACAGATTGAATCTAGGGCGAGGAAGTTGCGTCGCTTGCTTCGAGGGGTGCAACCTGTTCCAAACGGGGACATGAGACTCAAGTCCTCTCAGTACATCGAGTCCGGGTCCCTTTTCGTTCCTTTTTGAGTAATATACTCAAAGTTTTTCAAAGGTTTTATAACACCCTCTGGATCATTTTGAATGATCTTATCATTGGGATTGCGCTTCGTCAATTTTTACGGCAGGACCGTCAGGCTTTCCTGCACCTTTTCAAGCTTGTCTTTGAGGTTTGAATTGTCGAGTATCGCACCACACTCTTTCTGACATAAATACGCAGGACAAGGCCGTGCATGAAATACGACAGATCCTTCTGTGGCTCGACAGTTGGCCTGCAGGCCTTAAGTTGAACACCGAACTCAGCCGATTCTATTCGCACAGCTTTATGGGACTGATTGCGCTTTGGAACAGTGCGTACTGACGTCCGGCCTTGCACGATATTCTGTCAACCCTCATTGACACACAGGAGGTTTCCGAACCGTCATACCACTCATTCCCATGTTATTGGGTGCGCTGGAGCTGGGGAGTGCGTTTGGGGTGACGATGGCGCTCGCCATGGTGTGTGATATTGTCTGCGTCTTTATGGCACATGTACAACTGTGCTATTTGGTCTCGGTGACTGTGTATGGTCATTTGTTACGCTTGGCGGCATCGCTTTGGAATCTTTTTCGAGGTGTGACCTTCCGCAGTTCTATAATGAGAACTAGTAATAACACGATTCAAGGACGACGACATAACGTGCTAAGGAATCGGACGGATCCTTGGGACTATGATGTCGACCAGCTACTTCTGGGGACTATTCTCTTCACACTGATTGCTTATCTCTTTCCTACCGTTCTGGTGTACTATATTTTGTTCGCTACCGTGAGTCTTAGCATTGGTGTTGGTGGAGTATGTTAGCTGACTTGTGTACAACAAGATGCGCGTCTCGATTATTCTAGTGTATGCGAGTTTGGAGACGGCGCTTGCGTTTATGAATTATTTTCCACTCTTTGCATTAATGCTTAGAGTTAAAGATCCACAGCGATCACCTGGTTAGTAACATGGGACCAGTCGTGTATTCGCTGAAGAAAATACTTTAGGTGGAATTTATATGAGAGTGGAACCAACTAATGGCGGACATGGCGTAGATGTTTTTGTCGAGGTGGGCCATATTTTTTCGTGACTGCGATGTTTAGTAATTCTTTTTCACAGAGTCACCCATTGCCTTTTGCTGTCACTTTCAGCCAGTATGGTACGTCTCCCCAATATGATCGGCAAAAAAATTGCATTATAACATGGAAGCCAGTTGAACTATGGAAGCGATTGGCGAAGCATTATCATCCATTTCGTCTCGTGTGGTATGTTGTGTCAGGTCGAGTTCTCGATACCATCCCAAGAACATATGTCCATAGCACTACCAGATAAGTCTATTCCTACTACGGCAGTAGTGTGTTTTATTGTGACATCGCAGTTTGTATAGGGTCATGTAAAACATTGATGGTCCTTTGGGTAGCTGTTTGCAATTTTGCCTCGAAATTTAAAAAATACAGAGTGACCTGTGGCATTGCCATGCAAGTTTAGAATGTGAGGCAAGTTATCTAGATTTGGTGACAGAATGGGGCCACTACAATTGCTGTTTTTCGTAAGGTAGACTTTGCACTGTTTCAGCAAATGTCATGTGATAAAGCATGACAAAAGTACTCACCACGGGCAAGATAGAAAAAAGAGGGCTGCTGAGATGGTATTAAGATGGGGTGGAAATGTAGCACTTTGAGTGTGTGGCTGGCACGCTAGCTGCCACTCTGAAACTTTGAATTTTGGGAAGGTGGCAGCTGGCCTTTTGACACAAAATGTTTACTTTGCATATGACACTGTATATAGGTGTACACAATTTTGGATTTTTGCACGTTGTGATAGGCACCCTTTGTTGACATTGTTTCTTAAGTCCTAGCCACACAACTTGGCCTTCTCAAAGGCGACTATTTTTTAAAATCTATGGAGGGTCGATGCAGGCTCATCTGGACCATCTTAGACTTAAGGTATATTTACATGTGCCACGCACCCAACAACATTTTTTCAATTTTGGATCTAGTTTCACTCTTCTTCACACGTATGGTGTCTATGCTTTTTTAAATCACAGTCGCTTTTCTCACCAGGTCTTGATTTAAGATTTCTTCATTGTCTGTCAGGCCATTTGTCCATGACTCCGATGTTACATCACAGTCGCTACCTCGCCAGGCCTGTATTTTAAATATTCTTGCTGTCTGTCGGGCTAGTTCTCTGTAGCTCCGATGTAACATTTCCACCTCATCCAACAGTTGGCATTGGCACCCAAATTTCTTTTATTTGCCTGCTCAGGTGAGTCGAACCCCAAGTCACTGCTCTGGTACTAAAAGCGCAGAGCAACGTCAGATACACGCACAGATCAGCTCTTTTGCTCAACACCGTAGTTCACGCTCCCTTAACCCTGCTTTGCGTCTCCTGATGCTCTGGCCACGTCCTGCTCTCAGAGAGTGCGTATTCTCATCTTTTGGTTTCCTTACCTGATGCTGATGACATTCTGGCCGCATCCCTCTCTCAGAAAGTGTGTGTTCTAGTCTTTTGGCTCGCTTACCCGACGCTCTGGCTGTGTCCCGCTCTCAATTGGTGCGTGTTCTTGTCTTTTGGCTTGCTTACTCGACACTGTACCAACCTGATCAACGCTACCAGTTCTGCAACGGAAAACTTTCAAGGCTATTTGTATCTCACGTCGCGTAATACTAGGATGACATCTGATCACACTTGCATCCGACTCTCCATTTGCGGTTCTTTTTATTTTTGAATATGTGGCGATTCGATCTCCTCAGACAGTCCAGCGCGGAAGTCAACATCATTCACCAAAATCATCACGCTCGCAATGTCCACAAACACCGTGAGACTCGTCACGCGTCAATGACGGCTGAATCCCTTCCTTGAGTTACTCCCTGACGAACATGTGCATGAGTGCTGTACTATATCAGTCATTAGAATGTTAACTATGTTTGACAGATGAAAACAAAAATGTTGCGAATACGGTCAAAGTAAGGAAAAAAAGAATATCATAGAGGAGTCCTATTGGTATTCACGACAACTTCTCTCCCTCCTACTTCTCAAAGAAAATCACCCACGGCGCAGTTGGATCTGCAGGTTTTGTCTGATCAGCAAGTTGTACATCAGGGCCAAGCGCTTCAGCTATAGCGCTAACCACATCACGAAAGACAGGGATTTCTATGGGAGCATCGCTGATAAATACCCGACACATGGGGCACTCGTAAAATCGACCAGGAAGGATTGAATCTCTCCCATCGCACAACATCTGGATGTCAGCTTTCGTGAATGGTTCCAGATGATTCTTGAATTTCTCAGGAACTTTCTCTTCGCGGTAGTGTAGACGGTTCCTGATACATTGGTGGAACCAGGTGACCAGACAATTGTAGCAGTATGTATGGCGACATTCAACAACCCTGTTGATTTGTGTCAATAACATTTTGTGCTGGCAAGAACTCCAACCTCACATGAAAGGTCTGTCGATAACATCGTGACAAACTGGGCACTGCAATGCCTTGTCAGCAGCCTGTAACTTGACCCATACGTCCTGATTCAGAGCGGTGATATTGTCTCGCTCTCGCCTGGTTTTGGCCAGCTCCTGAAAGTTTGAACAACATCAGAAATAGGAAGAACAACACAAATAGTACTCGCCTTTCTTAGCTGCTTGATGTCGTTGCTTAGAAGAGCCTTGACTTTGGACACTGACTGAGATGGCAAACTGTATCAGTACCCTCAGCATTTATTGACATCAATATACCTTGCATGCGGTCCTGATCTCAAGGTGAAGGAAAGATAATTCATCAGAATCATTACTGGACATAGACAATGTGCTCGAGGTAGGAGATGAACTGCATGAACCGGGGAGGCTTGACTTGGACTTGGAAGGCGATGAACGTAAGTTATAAGGTTTCTTAACCTGCTTCTGACGGTCTGATGATTCACTGCGAGAAGGCGGCATTGGAAAAGATTTCAGAGACCAACGTCAATAATTACCATCTATTGCCATTATGTATGTTGAGGTTACAAAGGCGGCAAAATTCGAAGTGCGTCACATTATTCTTTAACCAAGTCACACCGCTGGGTGCCTCAAGGCCGAATCTGATTGATTCCGAGTCTCTCGTCACGATTACCCTTTTACCAGTTCACTGCCTTGAGGCAGAATCACATTGAGTATTCATCCCAATCAGGTGGGTGCTTCTCCTTCCTTATGCAGTCTCCCTTTCAGATTCATCGAAGTCGTCACGGTCTGCTGCGACTATTGGAGCTTATCATTATTTCATTGATACAAGGAATGTACGGGTAACGGGTTGAATGCAATTTGTATGGAGGCCTGACGGGTGTCTTCAGAAAGTTTATTGCTGCATAAGATTCAGAGACTTCAAATTCGAAGTTCAAGACGTTAAAATTAAAACGATTGAGAAGCATTCTCCCATACTCAACGATGACTTGACCGCGACTCATTTTTTGGCGGAATTACTCCTCCTTTTGTCAGTCATTCTCACACAGTCGGCAGGTGACAATCAAACTTATTGCCTTTGTCATGACATTATGCCCGATTGTTCAAATTTGAATGTTCGTGATAGGCTCAGGTAAGCTGTAGCTCTGAATCACAATTGTAATTGATATCTCCGTCTTTTGTCTGCTATCTTCTGTCTGCTAAATATCGTCCACATGTCCAGCACATCATGCACCCTCATTGCGTTTCCCTACCTAGCACTGTCACTAATTTCTGCCCATTTGAATCATCTGCACACTTTTTCACCTCCGACTACCTATAACTTCCTGCCTGTCCTCTCAAAGTATCCATTCTCACAGCAGAGTTGATTGCATTGTCCAAGTCATGATCTCTGCAGATGACATCCCTGACCCGCTGCCATCCACTGTCTCGGCGCCATCCACTGTCTCAAAGCGACCACCCAAAGATGGATGGGACCAAGGCCGTCCTGATCCCAAAACTTACAAGTCCTCTGTTGTTATTGCACCTCCAGTGGCCTCACGAGCAACAGCTCCTGCACAAGTGTGTAGTAGCTAGCCTTGCGCATGATTTCTGTTCTGAACATTTAGATACAGGGACCAGAAATAGAGTCTCAAGCAGCTCTGCTCGCTGCCCTCCTACAGGAGGTAAGTCAATACATTATGCTGTCACAAAACCTTCCTCCATTACAGTGCAGGCTTCACGCAGAAGTTCTACTGCATCATCTGCCAGTGATCGGTCTTATAGATCATTCACTTCGGAAGTTGAGGATACTCAATCTTCCAACAATTTTCATCCATTGGAACAGCGGGAATCGCAATCTTCCGTTCGCTCTGATTCCACCATTTGAGGTCACGGCAGTGGAAGGTGATGTGGATCTCAATCAACCAACAGTAACGAGACTCACGAAGACTGCAGAGGTCGCACCAATATTGCACCATTTGATCTTGCTAATCTTTCTTTCCATGTCATTATCCTTTATGAACTTTATCGCACACTACCCTGACATTCCTGCACAGTTGCTCCTGGCTGGAACATCGACCCAGGGTACTTCTGCACGCTCATCAGGCACAGCTAACAGTGAGTATTCCTTTAATCTTTTTGTCTATGCAAACTGAAACACGACGTGTTTCGCAACTAGATTCTAGAGCATTGCATGGAGTTGTTCCACGAATATCACACAATTTGAAGGGGAAACAGAAGGACATAGAGGTACCGTCATCAGTAGATCGTAATTGTCGGCTTCCGGTACGTTCAAACTTTAGCAAAAAAGGGCTAACTCGAGAGATATCACAAAGGAAACAACGTTCACCTTTTCCCCCTTACCCTCCTTTCCTAATATCCCACCACCACCTCCCACTGCAGGCCCTTCCCAATGTAGTCCTCCTGGTGACCCGATTCCTACATCATTCGGACAACCTGCTCCCTCTGATAACGGCATGGCATCAGTTATGACGTGGTTTTCCAATGGACTCTCACATCTAGCCACTACTATGGAAGCCAACAGTTCATTATCGACCAAGAAACTGGAGGAGGACATTAGTGTTATCCGCACTCAGCTCAACCACCTGTCAGGCAATATGAAGGGTACCCCTGTCATCCCTAACAACCGCAGACAAAGAAAGTTTGCTGGTTTCGTGCCAGACCCCGCCGATCGTGTTGATGTTCCAGAAGCCCCGACCCGTCAGAGCAAAGTCACTTATAATCACTTCAAGGTCTGTTGTGGTAGTCTCTTGTAGGAGATACTCATGTAATACTTTACAGGGTTGTATTTGTCATCACACTCAACTTCTTCTCAAAGTTGAGGATTACAAACAACTCACATCAATCAACTGCAGTCTCACTGAAGAGGAACGGGACGCCTATTGCGAAAGGCATCCAGACCGCATTAACATCACTAGTGATAACTTTCGCCTTGATTTGACAGACAACTGTAACTTGCTGTTCAATTGTGACGCTGTCGTCATCTTTGCCTTTGACTTCATCAAGAAAATCAAAGAGCTCGGGTGGTATGCCGATTCTAATATTCCTGAGCAGTATTTGACTCAGAAACGTGTGAGCGAGGCATTTTATTCACACCTCAAAACCATCAAAGCCCATTATGTAGATGTCTAAGGGGTCAGGATAAGGAACGACAGAAACAGAAAGAGGAGCGACTTCGGAGGGGTGCAAGAAACTCAAGAAAAATGCGGGTGCGTAATTCACTGCTTCACCATTCATACTTGTTCAATGCTTTGGTTGGTTCAGCTTTTTGCAGAACATCTACAGGGTTGTGCAGTCCCTGGCAGCCCATTTGCGCCCCAAATCACCATCTTGGAGGCCATGGGGAGTGCATGCTGCAGTTCAGACGAATCTGGTGATGACTTCGACAGTATTCACCAGCCTCAGGCTCCACTACATCTATCACTCAAAAAGCACACCAAGACGAAGAACAGCTCTTTTTGGCGGATCAGTCCAGTCTGGCACGGCATAGGACCCAGCTCGTTAATGTACCACATCGATGAACATATTGAAGAAGTCAAATCTTTAGGCATTCTTAGGAAGCCACGCGGAAACTGTACTCGTAATCGGCTCCACTCCAACAAAGTAAATCCTCATATTGCAGTGCCAGCTGGCCTGCCTCGTAATTGCTACAACCCTGTGTGGTATAATTCACTTCCACTCATATTGAAGCTCCGTCTTGACGTGAAGGACTGGGATTGGGATTTTTGTCGTGGCGGGAGATTGCAGGCGACTGAGGATAATGATATGGACACAACGAATAAGTGTGATATTCCATTGGGGATTCCCAGTGCACAGATACCAGTGGAGATCAGATAAATATGTTTCCCTAATACCGTGTATTTTAGATTTTTTGCCTTCCCCGACTTCCAAGAGAATTCATACATCGATTTCCCTGCAAACACATGCCTGCGATTCTTCATGCATCAAGACAACTCGTACAACATCTCGATATCCACTCACGGTTCATTCTCTCCTCCTCATACTTTAAAACAAGTCTCAAAACATTCCTTTTACCCCACCTCCTCTCACACTGCAGGCATTTCCTCATGTTCCTCCACCAAACATCCAAAAAACATTGAATTAGAAGATAGAAATTTCCTTGCATTTTGTGTATCAAAACATTGAAAAAAAATAATGAATGTATTAAAGATTTTCTGTATGCAAGACATAATATAAAAATGTGTCATTTTCCCTCGGGAAACAGTCAATATTTTTCACTCATCATTCTTCAAATAACAATTTACAATCATGTTAAATTTTTTGCCTCTGTTTTTCCAATGTTCTGTGCATCAAAAATCTCAATTACTTCATCCTGTTCACCATATGTTTGATCCAAGAACATTGAAAAATCATATAACAAATAATAAAATATATTTTGACAATGTTTTGTTCAGGAAAAGCAAAGAAACTTTCAAACATTCATTTGTATATTTGGTAAGAGGAAATTTATGAAACATGCCTCATGTTTTGTAAGAATAAATAAATGATGTTTGCAGTATATTCCTGCTGCACAACACTTGAAAAACATTTATTATGTTCAGAGAAAAAAAAAGAAACATGATTGCAGGATACTCTGCCTCAGAACATGCACAAATTATATATTTTTTTCTGCACACAATACATGGAAAATTATCCTTGAAGGAACATGATCAATTTTTGCATCATGTCCCGCACACAGAAAATCATTGAAACATGAAATTTTTTTTTTCAATGTTTTGACAAGTCCCACACAGAAAATCATTGAAACATGAATTATGTTTTTTCAATATTTTGACAGGTCCCACACAGAAAATCATTGAAACATGAATTATTATTTTTTTCAATGTTTTGACAGGTCCCACACAGAAAATCATTGAAACATGAATTATTATTTTTTTCAATGTTTTGACAGGTCCCACACAGAAAATCATTGAAACATGAATTATTTTTTTTTTCAATGTTTCGACAAACAAAATGAAGGTACAAGATGTCAAGGAGCAAAAGCAGCTAGTTGTGCATAAGAAAGGCCAACTTAAAGGATTCATCAATTTTCTGTGTCCCATGGGCCATGACATGCAAGATCCAACAAACAGTGGGCATTTGTACAACTACTAGTAAAAAAACTCAACTTTTGACCTCTACATGTGCAGGGTAGCTACTTCTCTACATATTTGCACCACTATGTGGTATTCATTCAGATCACAAATGTTAAAAGTGCATTGTTCAATTATTAAAGAAAGTCACCATGAAAAGCCTGAACGGACGGCACCGCAAGCAGACAGCGGTTCATAATTCAGCTTTCATGTCAACATTTGACGAGCCTGATGTAGTACATGAAGTCTCCCACTCATTCGAGACCCATGGATGGGCGGAGGTGGACAGGAGAAAAAGGCAGGCTTCTTGCACTTACATGAAGGTGTGCGGGGATGGGAGAGAAAGTGCGGCGCCTTCAGACTTCAGGTGCGTGCACCATTATACTGGAGATGTATCCATCTTCCAAAGACAGGTCAATCGGCAGAATCAACACTGTCAGGATCAGAGCCAAGCCCACCGCTGCTGGCAACGGACGAACGCGGAAAAAAAGAACGAAACGCGAAGGAACAACGCAGGAAAACCAACAAACGCGAAAAAAAACGCGGACAAACGAGTGAACGCAAGGACAAACGCGACAAAAAGACGCGGACAAACGAGTGAACGTAAGGATAAACGAGGGAACGCAAGGACAAACGAACGAACGCGAAAAAAAACGCGGACAAACGAGTCAACGCAAGGACAAACGAGGGAACGCACGGGCAAACGCGAAAAAAAACGCGGACAAACGAGGGAACGCGGGAACAAACGAGGGAACGGGTTGCTGATCACGATCCACATTATTGGAATAGTTGGGGCAGTAGGGCCAGGCAGCCTCTTGAGGTGGGAGGTAGATAGGGTCCCTGGTTTTCAAACGAGTCAACGCAAGGACAAACGAGGGAACGCACCGTCAAACGAGTGAACGCGGGGACAAACGAGTCGACGCGAGGACGAACGAACGAACGCGAGGATAAACGCGGACAAGATAACTCAGAGGACGTTACCAACATAGTGTTTGATAGCCAAATGCGAAAAAAAATGGGGACAAACGAAGGAACGCAAGGACAAACGAACAAACGCGAAAAATAAACGCGGACAAACGAGTCAACGCAAGGACAAACGAACGAACACGATGATAAACGCGAAAAAAAATACGGACAAACGAGGGAACGCAAGGACAAACGAGTGAGCGCAAGGACAAACGAACAACTGCGAGGACAAACGAACGAACGCGAGGATAAACGCGAAAAAAACGCGGACAAACGAGTCAACGCAAGAACAAACGAACAAACGCGAGAAAAAAACGCAGACAAAGGAGGGAACGCAAGGATAAACGAACGAACGCGAAAAAAAACGCGGACAAACCAGGGAACGCAAGCACAAACGAACAAATGCGAGGACAAACGAACGAACGCGAGAAAAAAACGCGGGCAAACGAGGGAACGCACGAGCAAACGAGTGAACGCGAGAAAAAAACGCGGACAGAGGAGTCAACGCAAGGGCAAACGCGAAAAAAAAAAATTGCGGGTAAACGAACGAACGCGAGAAAAAAACGCGGACAAACGAGGGAACGCAGGAGCAAACGAGTCAACGCGAGGATAAACGAACGAACGCGAGGTCAAACGAACGAACGCAAGGGCAAACGCGAGGAAAAAACGCGGACAAACGAGTCAACGCAAGGACAAACGCGGAAAATAATAACCAGGAGGCGCCCCGCCTCCTCGGCGCAGCCGAGGAGGTGGGGCGCAAAAAACGCGGACAAACAAGTCAACGCAAGGACGAACGAACAAACGAGTCAACGCGAAGACAAACGAACACACGCAAGAACAAACGAGTCAACGCGAGGGCAAACGAGTCAACGCAAGGACAAACGCGGAAAATAATAACCAGGAGGCGCCCCGCCTCCTCGGCGCAGCCGAGGAGGTGGGGCGCAAAAACGCGGACAAACAAGCGAACCAACGCAAGAACAAACGAGTCAACGCAAGGACGAACGAACCAATGCAAGAACAAACGAACAAACGCGAGGACAAACGGGTCAACGCAAGGACAAACGAACAAACGCAAGGACAAACGAGTCAACGCGAGGACAAACGAGTCAACGCAAGGACAAACGAGAGAACGCAAGAACAAACGAGTCAACGCGAGGGCAAACGAGAGAACGCACGAGCAAACGAGTCAACGCGAGAACAAACGAACGAACGCGAGGGCAAACGAGGAAGCGCAAGGGCAAACGAGTAAAAATAAGTTTCGGCTTCCTGACGATATGGTTTATAGGAGACCGGACCTGCGATGGGAGTTTGATTGACATCCAATAGAAAAATGATGCAAGGTAGCTCATACCAATAGTTCACTGTTGGTACGTCGACTGGTTTCTCACAGGCGAAGGAATACAGTTAAAAAAATCACCATCCAGATAGGACGATTAATACGAACGTGTAAAGGGCTGTAGAGGACAATGGTTAGAGGTTGAATGACGGCAGGACCCGAGTTGAACGTACATTGTAATACACGCTCTGTCCACCAACATGGAAAAGAACAGTTGAGAAATTGCTGTATGCTAGTTGGAGAGCATAGTCGATTCCCCACAGGGCGGCCCTGAAGCTGTCGCTTAACCTGGGAAAACCTCCGCAAGATGCTGTATTGGTTTCTGACACGATGAAGGGCTTTCCAACGGATTGCGCATAAGCGGGAGCACCAGGGAACAATGGTCTTTCCGGCTTGGTGTGTCAGGAAGGTCGGCAACATCTCTGGGCCAGTGCGTGGAGTTCCTATGCCGAACTGGGCATAACAATTATCGGTGGGATACCTTCACGATTATGAGCCAGAAGACGATGATGATGAATAATTTGTGATTCACCTTTCAACACCCAGCGCAGCAAGGTTTTGGTTGAAGTCTGTGGCGAACCCGGTTTCCCAGATATCCGTTGGGCTCCACATGCCAGCCAGATTGGGGCCAATGAGCAGATCTTTGTTGGGGATATTAGAGTCTGCGTTCATTGCGTCGATGAGAAGACCGAATTCATCCTTGTAATCCTGAGGGCTATGAGACTGCAAAAAGGTTAACAATCAATACGGAGTCAGGCCAAAAAAATACCTTACATCCGGCCGATGACCGTGCCTTGAGTAAAGATCAGGTTCATTGCCGCCCTAAAGCAAAAGCAATCAGAGACTGTCGTATTATACGTTAGATTCCCTGACCTGTAGACCAATCAGATAATTTCCGAGCATCGCCTCTCCGACTTCAGCGATCTGCAAGCGCCAATGCTGAGTGTCATTGAACGGCACACCTGCGCAAGAAGGTCAGTGACAACAAGAGTATTATCATGTATCGCATACCCATGTACCAATAGACATTAGTGAGTGCAGATATCTCGGCCATCATTTTGATGATCTCAGTTGTGAAGACAAGGGGCAGCGTTGCCGTCTTGGGGGTGTTCAGTCTCAGGATAATCGAGTAAAGAAAAAAAGCACTTACGGGGTTGGCTATGCCTGCGTAGTCCTTCTCGAGAGCTGCACCGTCCGGGGTACTGGCCACTAGGGTAGCGGTCTCTTGAGTATTACCACCGACACGAACCCTAACGCTGCCCCCGCGTTGTCGCAGGTTGGCCATAAGGTTGAGAAACGGGACTTGGAGGAAAGAACTGGCAATCGAGGTAAATGCTATAGTACTTCTTGGCAACTGAATTAGTTACCTGTTCAGCCCGACTACAAGATATGTTCAGTGGATGCACATGCGAGTGAACAAAATACTTACGGACTTGTGTCGT